GAGCGGAGGCACTTTAACCAAAACCATGGAACCACGTGTGGAGCGGAGTGACTATCAACAGCCATGGAACCACGTGTTTTGGGGATGCACTATCAACCAAGCCATGGACCCGTGGTGAGCGGAGGCACTATCAACCGAGCCGGAACCCCTGTGTGAGCGGAGTGCACTATCAACCCAGCCCTGGAACCACGTGTGTGAGCGGATGCACTACCCAACCAAGCCTGGAACCCCGGGGGTGTGGGGTGCCTATCAACCAAAAGCCAGGAAAAGTGGTGAGCGGAGTGCACTTCAACCCAGCCATGGAACCTGTGTGTGAGCGGAGTGCATATCAACCCAGCCATGGAACCCGGGTGGCGGGGTGCACTATCAACCGAGCCATGGAACCCCGTTGTGAGCGATTTTCACTATCAACCGAGCCAGGAACCCCGTGTGTGAGCGGGGTGCCTATCAAAACCCCCATGGAACCATGTGTGTAGCGGGGTGCCCTTTAACCAAGCCATGGAACCCCGTGTGGAGCGGGGTGACTATAACCAAGCCATGGAACCCGTTGGGGAGCGGAGTGCACTTCAACCAGCCCTGGAACCAGTGTGTGAGCGGGTGCACTATCACCGAGCCATTTAACCCCTTGTAGCGGAGTGCACTATCAACCGGCCATGGGAACCGTGTGTGACGGAGTGCACATCAACCGAGCCATGGGAACCACGTGTGTGAGCGGGGTGCATACCCCAACCCAGCCCTGGAACCCCGTGTTGGCGGAGTGCACTTCAACCGGCCATGGAACCCCGTGTGTGAGCGGGGGGCATATCAACCCAGCCTGGAAAACCCCCTTGGGGGAGCGGGGGTGCCTATCAACCGAGCCAGGAACCACTGTGTGACGGATGACTATCAACGAGCCTGGAACCCGTGTGTGGCGGAGTGCATTCAACCGAGCCATGGAACCACGTGTGTGAGCGGGGTTTCATACAAAACCCAGCCCCAAAAAACCCGTGGTGAGCGTAGTGCACTATCAACCAAGCCCGGAACCCCGTGTTGAGCTGTGCACTACAACCAAGCCCTGGAACCCCGGGGTGAGCGGTGCCTATCAACCAAGCCATGGAACCACGTGGTGAGCGTAGTGCACTAAAACCCAAACCATGGAACCCGTTTTGTAGCGTAGTGCACTATCAAAAAAAGCTGGAACCAGTGTGTGAGCGGAGTGCATATCAAAACCCAAACCCTGGGAAACCCCTGTGTGGGCGTATGACTATCAACCCAAACCAGAGAAGCGGGTTCCCATCAATGGAAAAAAAGTCATTTGACATTTTTTTTTGTGTTATCCTAGGTATTACACAATGCTGCTTTTGTTAATTTAGTAACGTATTTTTGTGTACATTACCCGGATAAAAAATTTTAACTCGGGGAGGTTTTTGGGCCTGACAAAGATACAGTTTTTTGGGGGGTGCCACCCGGATTACTTATAATAATAATAATAATAATAATAATAATAATAATAATAATAATAATATCCTTATTTACTACCAGTACATGTACAAAGTATACGGACCATAGCTGACGTCAGTTCACTTGGAGTTTACCTGGAGAGAGTTCCGGGGGTCAACGCCCCCGCGGCCCGGTCTGTGACCAGGCCTCCTGGTGGATCAGCCCCTGATCAACCAGGCTGTTGCTGCTGGCTGCACGCAAACCAACGTACGAGCCACAGCCCGGCTGATCAGGAACTGACTTTAGGTGCTTGTCCAGTGCCAGCTTGAAGACTGTCAGGGGTCTGTTGGTAATCCCCCTTATGTGTGCTGGGAGGCAGTTGAACAGTCTCGGGCCCCTGACACTTATTGTATGGTCTCTTAACGTGCTAGTGACACCCCTGCTTTTCATTGGGGGGATGGTGCATCGTCTGCCAAGTCTTTTGCTTTCGTAGTGAGTGATTTTCGTGTGCAAGTTCGGTACTAGTCCCTCTAGGATTTTCCAGGTGTATATAATCATGTATCTCTCCCTCCTGCGTTCCAGGAATACAGGTTTAGAAACCTCAAGCGCTCCCAGTAATTGAGGTGTTTTATCTCCGTTATGCGCGCCGTGAAAGTTCTCTGTACATTTTCTAGGTCGGCAATTTCACCTGCCTTGAAAGGTGCTGTTAGAGTGCAGCAATATTCCAGCATAGATAGAACAAGTGACCTGAAGAGTGTCATCATGGGCTTGGCCCCCCTAGTTTTGAAGGTTCTCATTATCCATCCTGTCATTTTTCTAGCAGATGCGATTGATACAATGTTATGGTCCTTGAAGGTGAGATCCTCCGACATAATCACTCCCAGGTCTTTGACGTTGGTGTTTCGCTCTATTTTGTGGCCAGAATTTGTTTTGTACTCTGATGAAGATTTAATTTCCTCATGTTTACCATATCTGAGTAATTGAAATTTCTCATCGTTGAACTTCATATTGTTTTCCGCAGCCCACTGAAAGATTTGGTTGATGTCCGCCTGGAGCCTTGCAGTGTCTGCAATGGAAGACACTGTCATGCAGATTCGGGTGTCATCTGCAAAGGAAGACTGTTAGTGCTGTTAGTGTGCAGCAATATTCCAGCCTAGATAGAACAAGCGACCTGAAGAGTGTCATCATGGGCGTGGCATCCCTAGTTTTGAAGGTTCTCATTATCCATCCTGTCATTTTTCTAACAGCTGCAATTGATATAATGTTATGGTTCTTGAAGGTGAAAACCTCCGACATGATCACTCCCAGGTCTTTGACGTTTGTTTCTCGCTTTATTTTGTGGCTGGAATTTGTTTTGTACTCTGATGAAGTTTTGATTTCCTCGTGTCTACCATATCGGAGTAATTGAAATTTCTCATCGTTGAACTTCATATTATTTTCTGCAGCCCATTGAAAGATTTGGTTGATGTCCGCCTGGAGCCTTGCAGTGTCTGCAATGGAAGACACTGTCATGCAGATTCGGGTGTCATCTGCAAAGGAAGACACGGTGCTGTGGCTGACATCCTTGTCTATGTCAAATATGAGGATGAGAAACAAGATCGGAGCGAGTACTGTGCATTGTGGAACAGAGCTTTTCACTGTAGCTGCCTCAGACTTTACTCTGTTGACTACTACTCTTTGTGTTCTGTAACATACTAACTATACTACATACTACTATATAGAAAGCCCCTTGTTATGCTGAGCACTTCACGCAAGTTAGGTCAGTTTTTCCAAGAATGCGACCCACACCAGTCCACTAACACCTAGGTACCCATTATAAACTGATGGGTGAACAGGGACATGGACAGCAGGTGTATTATGGAAACACGTCCCTAATGTTTTCCAGCCGCACCGGAGGAGATTCGAACTCCGGGCCTCAGTGTGTGAGCTAAGTGCGCTAGTGATCGAGCTACGGGACACAGTTGGTACCTTCCAGTTTCTCTTTATATTTACAAAGGGACTCCTGTTCTCTTTTATGTTCCAGCAGTTTAGACAGTTTAAAATTTTATAATGCACCACATACCCGTCCTGTAGGCGGTAGACAAAAGATTACAGAGGTAAATAATGGGTCCAGGGATTGTGCCTCAACATTAGAGGTATATAATGGGTCCAGGGACTGTACCCCACCATTACAGAGGTACATAATGTGTCCAGGGATCTATTTTGTACCTCTTAGGTACTTAGGTAATGGGTCTAGGGATTGTACCTCAACATTGCTTAGGTAAGTAATGGGTCTAGGGACTGTACCTCAACATTACAGAGGAAAATAATGGGTCTATGGACTGTGCCTCAACATTACAGAGGTAAATAAAGGGTCTAGGGACTGTGCCTCAACATTAGAAGTAAATAATAGGACTAGGGACTGTGCCTCAACATTACAGAGGTAAATAATGGGTCTATGGGCTGTACCTCAACATTACAGAGGTAAATAAAGGGTCTAGGGACTGTACCTCAACATTAGTGGTAAATAATGAGTCTATGGACTGTATCTCAACATTACAGAGGTAAATAATGGGTCTAGGGACTGTACCTCAACATTAGAAGTAAATAATAGGACTAGGGACTGTACCTCAACATTACAGAGGTAAATAATGGGTCTAGGGACTGTACCTCAACATTAGAAGTAAATAATAGGACTAGGGACTGTACCTCAACATTACAGAGGTAAATAATGGGTCTAGGGACTGTACCTCAACATCACAGAGGTAAATAATGGGTCTAGGGACTGTACATCAACATTACAGAGGTAAATAATGGGTCTAGGGACTGTACCTCAACATTACAGAGGTAAATAATGGGTCTAGGGACTGTACTTCAACATTACAGAGGTAAATAATGGGTCTAGGGACTGTACCTCAACATTACAGAGGTAAATAATGGGTCTAGGGACTGTACTTCAACATTACAGAGGTAAATAATGGGTCTAGGGACTGTACCTCAACATTACAGAGGTAAATAATGGGTCTAGGGACTGTACTTCAACATTACAGAGGTAAATAATGGGTCTAGGGACTGTACCTCAACATTACAGAGGTAAATAATGGGTCTATGGGCTGTGCCTCAACATTACAGAGGTAAATAATGGGTCTAGGGACTGTACATCAACGTTACAGAGGTAAATAATGGGTCTAGGGACTGTACCTCAACATTACTGAGGTAAACAATGGGTCTAGGGACTGTACCTCAACATTACAGAGGTAAATAATGGGTCTAGGGACTGTACCTCAACATTACAGAGGTAAATAATGGGTCTAGGAACTGGGGCACAAAGTATTGATAGCTGAACCAGTGGGGTCAATGACCCAACTGGAAATAAGTCAGCTTCTCTGACTTTTTCTGGGTTAACCTGGGTAATCTGCACATATCCTGTTATGTAATATAATTTATGTAACTATTTATGTGTACCTGACCTGGATAAACTTACATATAGTGGTAAAGAAGTCCTATATATTTGTGATGAGTAGAGGAAGAAGCTGGACGCCATACTGTTGAGCTGTCACTCACCCTTACAACCACAACAACAAGAAAAAGTAGTCCACGGCTGCTCCACCAGCTGCTGCACCACCAGCAGCTGCTCCACCACCAGCAGCTGCTGCACCACCAGCAGCTGCTCCAACTGCTCCTGCATCACCACCAGCTGCTACAATCCCACGAGCTGTTACACTTCCTGCTGCACCACCAGCAGCTGCTCCTGCTGCACCACCAGCAGCTGCTCCTGCTGCTGCACTACCACCAGCTGCTCCACCTGCTGCTGCACCACCAGCAGCTGTTGCACCACTAGCATTTGCAAAACTAACTGTTGCACAACTTGCAGGTGCTTCACCTGCACCAGCAGCAGTTGCTGCACCACCTGGTGCTGCTGCAGAACCTGCTGCAGCTGCGCCACCTGCTGCAGCTGCGCCACCAGCTGCTACACCATTTGCTGCAGCTGCGCCACCTGCTGCTAATGCTCCACAACCTACTACTGCACCATCTGCTGCAGCTGCGCTATCTGCAGCTGCGCCACCTGCTGCTGCACCATCTGCTGCTGCGCCACCTGCTGCTGCACCATCTGCTGCTGCACCACCTGCTGCTGCACCATCTGCTGCTGCACCATCTGCTGCTGCACCATCTGCTGCTGCACCATCTGCTGCTGCACCATCTGCTGCAGCTGTGTCACCGCTGAAAAACCTAAATATTGAGGTGAGGTTTCATTAATATTTTTGGTTCATTATAAATATGATATTGTACATACAACCCAGGATAACCCAGGATAAGGAGGGTTAGCAACCCAGGATAACCCAGGATAAGGAGGGTTAGCCACCCAGGATAACCCAGGATAAGGAGTGTTAGCCACAAAGGATAACCCAGGATAAGGAGGGTTAGCCACCCAGGATAACCCAGGATAAGGAGGGGTTAGCCACCCAGGATAACCCAGGATAAGGAGGGTTAGCCACCCAGGATAACCCAGGATAAGGAGGGTTAGCCACCCAGGATAACCCAGGATAAGGAGAGTTAGCCCCCCAGGATAACCAAGGATAAGGAGGGTTAGCAACCCAGGATAACCCAGGATAAGGAGGGTTAGCCACCCAGGATAACCCAGGATAAGGAGAGTTAGCCACCCAGGATAACCCAGGATAAGGAGGGTTAGCAACCCAGGATAAGGAGGGTTAGCAACCCACGATAAGGAGGGTTAGCAACCTAGGATAAGGAGGGTTAGCAACCCAGGATAACCCAGGATAAGGAGAGTTAGCCACCCAGGATAACCCAGGATAAGGAGGGTTAGCCACCCAGGATAAGGAGGGTTAGCAACCCAGGATAAACCAGGATAAGGAGAGTTAGCCACCCAGGATAACCCAGGATAAGGAGGGTTAGCCACCCAGGATAACCCAGGATAAGGAGGGTTAGCAACCCAGGATAACCCAGGATAGGAAGGGTTAGCAACCTAGGATAACCCAGGATAAGGAGGGTTAGCAACCCAGGATAACCCAGGATAGGAAGGGTTAGCAACCCAGGATAATCCAGGATAAGGAGGGTTAGCAACCCAGGATAACCCAGGATGAGGGTTAGCCACCCAGGATAACCCAGGATAAGGAGAGTTAGCCACCCAGGATAACCTAGGATAAGGAGAGTTAGCCACCCAGGATAACCCAGGATAAGGAGAGTTAGCCACCCAGGATAACCCAGGATAAGGAGGGTTAGCAACCCAGGATAACCCAGGATAGGAAGGGTTAGCAACCCAGGATAGGAAGGGTTAGCAACCCAGGATAACCCAGGATAAGGAGGATTAGCAACCCAGGATAAGGAGGATTAGCAACCCAGGATAAGGAGGATTAGCAACCCAGGATAACCCAGGATAAGGAGGGTTAGCAACTTAGGATAACCCACGATAAGGAGGGTTAGCAACCCAGGATAACCCAGGATAGGAAGGGTTAGCAACCCAGGATAACCCAGGATAAGGAGGGCTAGCAACCCAGGATAACCCAGGATAGGAAGGGTTAGCAACCCAGGATAATCCAGGATAAGGAGGGTTAGCAACCCAGGATAACCCAGGATAAGGAGGGTTAGCAACCCAGGATAACCCAGGATAGGAAGGGTTAGCAACCCAGGATAACCCAGGATAGGAAGGGTTAGCAACCCAGGACAACCCTGGATACAGAGGGTTAGCAACCCAGGATAACCCAGAATAGGAAGGGTTAGCAACCCAGGATAAGGAGGGTTAGCAACCCAGGATAACCCAGGATAGGAAGGGTTAGCAACCCAGGATAACCCAGGATACGGAGGGTTAGCAACCCAGGATAACCCAGAATAGGAAGGGTTAGCAACCCAGGATAAGGAGGGTTAGCATCCCAGGATAACCCAGGATAAGAAGCGTTAGGAACCCAGGATAACCCAGGATAGGAAGGGTTAGCAACCCAGGATAAGGAGGGTTAGCAACCCAGGATAACCCAGGATAGGAAGGGTTAGCAACCCAGGATAACCCAGGATGAGAGTTAGCCACCCAGGATAACCCAGGATAAGGAGGGTTAGCAACCCAGGATAACCCAGGATAGGAAGGGTTAGCAACCCAGGATAGGAAGGGTTAGCAACCCAGGATAACCCAGGATAAGGAGGGTTAGCAACCCAGGATAACCCAGGATAGGAAGGGTTAGCAACCCAGGATAACCCAGGATAAGGAGGGTTAGCAACCTAGGATAACCCAGGATAAGGAGGGTTAGCAACCCAGGATAACCCAGGATAGGAAGGGTTAGCAACCCAGAATAACCCAGGATAAGGAGGGTTAGCAACCCAGGATAACCCAGGATAAGGAGGGTTAGCAACCCAGGATAACCCAGGATAGGATGGGTTAGCAACCCAGGATAACCCAGGATAGGAAGGGTTAGCAACCCAGGACAACCCAAGATAGGGAGGGTTAGCAACCCAGGACAACCCAAGATAGGGAGGGTTAGCAGCCCAGGATAACCCAGGATTTGGAGGGTTAGCAAACCAGGATAACCCAGGATAGGAAGGGTTAGCAACCCAGGATAACCCAGGATAAGGAGGGTTAGCAACCCAGCAGCGCTGTATAGCCCTTGTGGCTTAGCGCTTCTTTTTGATTATAATAATAATAATAATAGCAACCCAGGATAGGAAGGGTTAGCAACCCAGGATAAGGAGGGTTAGCAACCCAGGATAACCCAGGATAGGAAGCGTTAGGAACCCAGGATAACCCAGGATAGGAAGGGTTAGCAACCCAGGATAACCCAGGATAAGGAGGGTTAGCAACCCAGGATAGGAAGGGTTAGCAACCCAGGATAACCCAGGATAGGAAGGGTTAGCAACCCAGGATAACCCAAGATAGGGAGTGTTAGCAACCCAGGATAACCCAGGATAGGAAGGGTTAGCAACCCAGGATAACCCAGGATAGGAAGGGTTAGCAACCCAGGATAACCCAAGATAGGGAGGGTTAGCAGCCCAGGATAACCCAGGATTTGGAGGGTTAGCAAACCAGTATAGGAAGGGTTAGCAACCCAGGATAGGGAGGGTTAGCCACCCAGGATAGGGAGGGTTAGCCACCCAGAATAGCCCAGGATAGGGAGGGTTAGCCACCCAGGATAACCCAGGATAGGGAAGGTTAGCCACCCAGGATAGCCCAGGATAGGAAGGGTTAGCCACCCAGGATAACCCAGGATAGGGAGGGTTAGCCACCCAGGATAACCCAGGATAGGGAGGGTTAGCCACCCAGGATAACCCAGGATAGGAAGGGTTAGCCACTCAGGATAACCCAAGATAGGGAGGGTTAGCCACTCAGGATAACCCAAGATAGGAAGGGTTAGCAACCCAGGATAACACAGGATAGGGAGGGTTAGCAACCCAGGATAACCCTGGATAGGTAGGGTTAGCCACCCAGGATAGGGAGGGTTAGCCACCCAGGATAACCCAGGATAGGGAGGGTTAGCCACCCAGGGTAACTCTAGATAGGGAGGGTTAGTGACCCAGGATAGGGAGGGTTAGCCATCCAGGATAACCCAGGGTAGGGAGGATTAGCCAAACAGGATAACCCAGGATAGGAAGGGTTAGCCACCCATGATAGGAAGGGTTAGTCACCCAGGATAACCTAGGATAGGTAGGGTTAGCCACCCAGGATAAGCCAGGATAGGGAGGGTTAGCCACCCAGGATAAGCCAGGATAGGGAGGGTTAGCCACCAAGGATAACCCAGGATGGGAAAGGCTAGCCACCCAGGATATCCCAGGCTAGGGAGGGTTAGCCACCCTGGATAACTCAGGATAGGGAGGGTTAGCCTCACAGGATAGCCCAGAATAGGGAGGATTAGCCAACCAGGATAACCCAGGATAGGAAGGGTTAGCCAGCCAGGATAGGGAGGGTTAGCCACCAAGGATAACCCAGGATACATAGGGCTAGCCACAAAGGATGTCCCCGGATAGGGAGGGTTAGTCACCAGGATAACCCAGGATAGGGGGGAGTAGCCAACCAGGATAACCCAGGATAGGAAGGGTTAGCCACCCTGGATAACCCAGGATAGGGATGGTTAGCCACCCAGGATAATCCAGGATAGGAAAGGTTAGCCACCCAGGATAACCCAGGATATGGAGGGTTAGCCTCACAGGATAACCCGGGATAGGAAGGGTAAGCCACCCAGGATAGGAAGGGTTAACCACCTATGATAGGGAATGCTAGCCACCCAGGATAAACCAGGATAGGTAGGGTTAGCCACCCTGGATAACCCTGGATAGGTAGGGTTAGCCACGCAGAATAGGGAGGGTTAGCCACCCAGGATAACCCAGGATAGGGAGGGTTAGCCACCCAGGATAACCCAGGATAGGGAGGGTTAGCCACCCAGGATAGGGAGAGTTAGCCACCTAGGATAGGAACGGTTAGCCACCCTGGATAACCTAGGAGAAGGAGGGTTATCCACCCAGGATAACCCAAGATAGGGAGGGTTAGCGACCCAGGATAACTCAGGATTGGGAGGGTTAGCCCCCCAAGATAACCCAGGATAGGGAGGGTTAGCCGCCCAGGATAGCCCAGGATAGGGAGGGTTAGCCACCCAGGATAACCCAAGATAGGGAGGGTTAGCGACCCAGGATAACTCATAGGGAGGGTTAGTCACCCAGGATAACCCAGGATAGGGAGGATTAGCTAACCAGGATAACCCAGGATAGGAAGGGTTAGCCACACATGATAGAAAGGGTTAGTCACCCAGGATAACCTATGATAGGGAGGGTTAGCCACTCAGGATCTCTGGATAGGGATGGTTAGCCACCAGGATAATCCAGGATAGGGAGGGTTAGCCGCCAAGGATAACCCAGGATGGGAAGGGCTAGCCACCAAGGATGTCCCATGATAGGGAGGGTTAGTCACCAGGATAACCCAGGATAGGAAGGGTTAGCCACCCATGATAACCTAGGATAGGGAGGGTTAGCCACCCTGGATAACTCAGGATAGGAAGGGTTAGCCACCCTGGATAGCCCAGAATAGGGAGGATTAGCCAACCAGGATAACCCAGGATAGGAAGGGTTATCCAGCCAGGATAGGTAGGGTTAGCCACCAAGGATAACCCAGGATACGTAGGGCTAGCCACCAAGGATGTCCCATGATAGGGAGGGTTAGTCACCAGGATAACCCAGGATAGGAAGGGTTAGCCACCCATGATAACCTAGGATAGGGAGGGTTAGCCACCCAGGATAACTCAGGATAGGGA